TATAATGTGCCTTGGTGTAGATCTGTAATTTTGTACATTTGACATTTTGTAAGCCTCTTGAATTTGATTTTTCAATTCATTCTTCATACTTGGGAAATTTTCTGAATGAAGAATTGTGAATTCCTTTGATTTAAAACTCTGTGCTTTCCTCTATCTCAATAACTCTTAGATTTGGTCTTTTTATTCTATTCCATAATTCTTGGATGTTCTATTCTTGGTTTCTTACGATCTTCACTGTGTGGTCAACTTTATTTTCCTGATTGTATACTTTGTCTTCATTATCTGATGTTCTTTCTTCCAAGTGATCTAGTCTGTTGGTTATGCGTTCTATTGAGTTTTTTTATTTGGTTTATTGTTTCCTTCATTTCAAGAATTTCTGATTTTTTTTTCAGAGTCTCTGCTTCTTGAAATAGTCTTTTGCTACCTATATTTGCTCTTATATCTTTGTTGAAGTGATCAATTGTTGCCTGTTTTTGTTCATTTAGGTCATCCTTTAATTCACAGATCATTTTAATTACGTTTATTCTGAACTCCTTCTCTGATATTTCATCAACTTCACTGTCCATGGACTCTGTTATTACTTGTACCTCACCTTGATGTTGGGCTTCCAGACCCTGAAGCTGTGCTCAATGTGTGCTAGTGAAACTAACGGTGGTGGTGGCAATAGCAGAGGTAACTCAAGATAGCAGTGGAAGTGCCCCAAGATGGATGCAGGTCTTTCAGTGATGGGGCTGAAAGGGTGGACCTTACACTGCCTTTGGGATGCCTGCTCCAAGATTCAGCTGCTTCTAGGCCCTGTCTGTTAGCAAAAGGTAAAGGCTACTGTGTGGAGAAGGCTGTGGGAATGTTTGCAGAGTCCCAAGATGGAAGTGGGTTAGGCCTGGCCTGAGGCTGGCTGCGGGTGTGTGTGTGTGGCAGACCCAGGCCTACCCTGGGCCTGGGTCCTGCGCAGGTCAGTGTAGGAGCATCTGAACCAGGCCAGAGCTTCGGCGGGGGTCCACTAGTCAGAGGAGGCGGTCCTGTGCTCTGGAGGGTGTCTTCTGGTGGTGGGATAGACCCAGGCCTATCCTGGGCCTGGGTCCCATGCAGGTGGGTGGAGGTGGATCTAGACCAGGCAGAGAAATGTCATTTCTTGAGTCAGCAGAAGTTTTCTTTTTAAAAAATTAAAACAATAAAAAAATACCATGATTAAGTTCAAATCACCTTATTTATACTTGGACATTTAAAAAGAAGAAATAATGTTTGAGTCACAGAGTAGTCCATGAAGGAGTTAAAGAAAAGCCATCTAGAAATAATGCCAGATAGGTATATTGGTTATATCAAGCTGAAATCACTTGAGTAACTGAAACTGCAAGAAGGGACATTTGAACTATCCTTCCCCAGATGCAACAAGCCATAAAGATTCTTTTGGAATGGATCTGCTTCACGTGCCAAGGCTGGAAAATAGCCTTGATCATCAGAGACTGATATTGGGGCTGCAATGAACCTGAGGAAATAAACTCTTTGAAGTAACCCTTACCTTCCACTGTCTTCTACATCACCCCCATATACATAGCATAGTAACATCCTTAGAATTTACTATCCAAGTCCATACAGCCACTTGTCCTATCATTTCTTCACAAATTTATTGATCTTTGTCCAAAAGTATAAAAACATCATGCCTTGGTCATTTATTTGGATTTTACTCTCTTGTAAAGATTCCTGTGTACATGTAAAATTAATAAAACTTTATGCTTTAATCTTATTAATCAGCTTTTATATTAATTAGTTTCCTAGTTTTGGCCAAAAAGCCTACAGAAGAACTAAGGGACAGAGGAGGGGATTTCTCTCTTCCCTATACCCACAACTGAAAAAGGCATGTGGCTTTCCTACAGGCAAACAAAGTATAACCCCCATGAGGTCAGAGTTTTCTCCAGGTACTAAGAGGAGGCTCAGGACTTGCTCCAGAAATAGATAAAAGGGAAATTAAGAGGTGGTAGCTGGTCAGGATGTAGGCAGGCATGTGAGGCCTGCAGTCTTCATGCCTTTCAGGTATGGGTTAAGGGATTAAGGGATAGGCTGGGCTAAGGGATTATGTCCTGGGCAGATCCAAGCTCATGAGTCTCAGGCTATATCAACTTTGCAAGAAATACTTGAGCAAGTCAGTTATGAGCTACTGAAGATAAGGCCAGAGTGCAAGGAAAGACTTTGAAAAAATTAATTTGCAAGAAATAAATCAGCATTAAATATAAGGAATTATTTTAAAATAATTTAACACTGTGGTTTTACTTATTCATTTGATTATAATAACTTTGGTAACCATAACTTTGGCTAGATAAAATCACCTATAGCCAACTAAACGCACATCAAACATAAATAATGTCTTGACCTGCCTTCTTTTCCTACAACTCCACACATCCCAAGGGGAATTTCCAGCTCAAGATCAAAGAATGATTAAATAGTTGGTGAAGGAGTTTTTAAAAAATGACTGAGTAATTTTACTTTGTATATACATGCTAGAAAAAAAAGTAAAATAAAATAAACAAAAATGTCCTCTTGGTGCTGAAAGTTTGGTGCCAAATCTTCTAAAAAGCAAAGAGCCTTGGGAAAATAATTAGCCACTTAATCAGTCTCATGTTTCAAAAGTTCATAATGAAGCTGTGTGATCAACAATCATCCTGTATTTGCTCACCATTCTAATGAGATGTCAAACCCAAAGGTTGCATTTTCACAATTCTAAGTCTCTCTTTCAACTTAATGTTTAAGAAAAATTTGTATTTAGAAATGTGAATTTACAGAGAAGAAAACATATGGGATATGCTAAAAGTATTTTACAAGGCATCTGACCAACTAAAACTACTTTTTTGTTTGTTTTAAGTTTGGGATTTTGTTTATCTTACAGCATATTACAGTGATCTAAGTAGTGTTTCCTTGTAGCATAAATAAGGTGGCCAAGGAAATAGATGTGACCATTTCCAGTTTGCCTGGTAAATCAATGTGTGGTCTACCATAATGAAACCTCAATAACAAAACACAGAATGAAAAGTAAGGACATCAGCTCAGGTCTCCCAGTAGTGGCTGGAATCTGCAATCAGGGGTAGCTTAGGAGTAATTTTTCTACTTCATTTCACAAAAATTAGCATAGAGACACACAACAAAGACTTTCTGCCTTTTGAAAGTCCAATTCACTTGACATGCTTGACTATTTCTCATAAACCTATTGCTCCTACTCATCAGTTTGAGGGAAATGGTAGGGGTGTGGCTGCATTAGAAAGCAGGTGTTCTAATGGTCCTTTGAAAACTGATTAGTGTCTTAGGCTTCTCATCTCAGAAATGCATTGATAGGTACTTTTTCCTACTTGAAGCCAGGAGGATGAGCCCAAATTCTTGGTTCTAGACCACTCAATTCAATATACTGTCCTGGGACAATGGCACTTCCCTATAGCACAACACAAGCCACCCTTATCAGGTGCTACACAAAATGGCCTAACTTTCTCAGTTTTCTGTTATTGGAAAGAAGGGTCCATGGAATATTCCTATACTTCCAAATTTCACTTTTGGAAACTAACAAACAATATATTAAAGAAACACCTATGAAAGATCTAACACAAGTCCATCTCATATACATATTCATTTGTCAATTATATCTGTTTCAAAATGCTTTTGCAGCATTACTGTTAAAAACTGATTTAAAAGCTTTGTTAGTCCCTGTATTTAGGTGCTAGTCTCCATACAGCTGAAGGAGGTAGCTCAACCTCTAAGAGCTCTATCCGGAGAATCTTAAGTGCAAATGTGTGCTGAGATGACCAAACAATCCAAGCTTCACTATCCTAATTCTCAATTTGTGAAGAAAACTATCCTACTGCCCAAGACCTGGCAGACTTCCAACTATAGGGAGTACAAGTGGCCCACGACCCAGCTGCTATGCTTTTGAAATCCTCCACATTCTCTCAGAGGCCCTCTCCGAAGAAGACAGCACAGTACAGCTGGCCTCCAATGGATGGCTTTGCTGGAGGACTTTGTGATACCTTGCTAACTTTGGCTCATAGCAGAAGAGAACACTTCCACCAAGCATTCTCTCTTTAGTTAGAATAAGACTTTAATCATAGTCTGACAGTGTCTGACAGTTCTCCTAACCTCTCCCAGCTGCTTTCCTATTTCCTTTCATGCAGGTATTTTCCCTAAAAATAACCATGCATTTTAGTTCTATCTTGGCATCTGCCTCCCAGAAGTCTAGACTAATATATTATTCATTCATTTATTGGTCATTCATTCAAGAAATTGAATTTCCATGTTTCTGGCACGTCATTCTAGGCACTGGGGAGAGTGGTGAGCAAGACTAAGAAAACCTGTACATTCATAAACTCCCCACAAATTATCATAACTGCCTCTCTTTCTTCAGCTCCTAATGTGTGCTAAGTATTTATATGCCTCATCTCATTTGTTCTTTACAATAACCCTGAAAATGTTGTTTGTTTCATGAATAAAGAAACTAAGACCTGGAAGAATAAGTTTCCAGGGGCCTCTCTGATAGGGCCAGCTTTTTTACTCCAAAATCTATGCTTTTCAGCGATGATGTATATCATCCATTTAGGTAACAGCTCTAAGCAATTTTATTTTCTAGCAATTTTTGCCCATCTGAATAGTTGATTTTACACAAAGTATGGTTTCATTTCTTTAATATAAATTTATAAGGGCTGGGGGAACAATCTATAAGAGAGGGAAACTGCACTTCAGAGCATTCACAGTCCTACACTGTTTCAAAGTCAGGTCAATGATGATAGCATGTAATCCATTGAGACACGGTCCCCCACCAGGTGTGAGTTTCCAACTGTGTTCACTATTACAAAGAACATAGAGAGGAAAGAAATGCTTGGTTAATCTGTTTTTCATCCTGGTCATGGCCCAATGCTGGCAAGCTGATAGAGAGTGGTCACATACAATCAGAGCTTCTCTTAGAGGCTGGCAAGGCCCACTGCAGGCAGCCAAGCACTCTGATGACAGCTGATGCAAACACATACCATTATGTCCAAGGTCAGTGATGGCCTCTTCTATACTCGAGTCAAAGTCCAGGGAAGGAGTAGGCTGAGACTCAGGTAGGTTCTCTGAAGCTGGTTCATCTAATTCCTTATGGGAGGAAATTAATAATTCATCAGAAGTTGACAGAAAGAAATAGGACTACCACAAATGAGATCATATTCTTGTTTAAAAGATTATTTGGAAATAAAAACCTACCAAATTCTCTCCCTTAAACATAATAACTTTTTCAAACTTTAAGATAGTAACTTGGGTTAGGAGAAAAATAGTCCTGAATCAATGAGACAGGTGACCTTGGGCAAACACTTGAACTTCATAGCCCTCAGGTTTAGGTCCATGACTAGTAGGTCAAGCAGGATGCCCAGAGTAAAAAATTAACACTCAGGTTCAGGCAAGTGCAGGCTCCACTGGCAGCTAGGAGTGATGCTTTCTATTTTGCACCCAGGGCACTCCACCTTTGTCATTCCTGTCCTGAATTTTTCTTCATCTCAAAATTAAAAAGCATTGGCTTGAATGACTTCCAGCTTCTTGTCTAGCTTTAAAAACTCAAACTACAAAGTTTTTTCTCAGCAAAAGAAACAATAAGAGAGGTAAATAGGGAGCCTACACCCTGGGAACAAATCTTTACTCCTCACACTTCAGATAGAGCCCTAATATCCAGAGTATACAAAGAACTCAAAAAATTAGACAACAAGAGAACAAACAACCCAATCAACAAATGGGCCAAGGACCTGAACAGACACTTCTCAGAGGAGGACATACAGTCAATCAACAAGTACATGAAAAAATGCTCACCATCTCTAGCAGTCAGAGAAATGCAAATCAAAACCACCCTAAGATACCATCTCACTCCAGTAAGATTGGCAGCCATTATGAAGTCAAACAACAACAAGTGCTGGAGAGGATGTGGGGAAAAGGGTACACTTGTACATTGCTGGTGGGACTGCAGATTGGTGCAGCCAATTTGGAAAGCAGTATGGAGATTTCTTGGAAAGCTGGGAATGGAGCCACCATTTGACCCAGCTATTCCCCTTCTTGGTCTATTCCCTAAAGACCTAAAAAGAGCATGCTACAGGGACACTGCTACATCGATGTTCATAGCAGCACAGTTCACAATAGCAAGATTGTGGAACCAACCTAGATGCCCTTCAATAGACGAATGGATAAAAAAATGTGGCATTTATACACAATGGAGTATTACTCTGCATTAAAAAATGACAAAATCATAGAATTTGCAGGGAAATGGATGGCATTAGAGCAGATTATGCTAAGTGAAGCTAGCCAATCCCTAAAAAACAAATGCCAAATGTCTTCTTTGATATAAGGAGAGTAACTAAGATCAGAGTAGGGACGAAGAGCAGGAGAAGAAGATTAACATTTAACAGGGATGAGAGGTGGGAGGGAAAGGGAGAGAGAAGGGAAATTGCATGGTAATGGAAGGAGACCCTCAGGGTTATACAGTGGAGGGGGTAGAGAGAGAGGAGGGGAGGGGAGGGGAGAGGTGGGGAGGGGGGAGGGTGGAGGATGGGAAAGGCAGCGGAGCACAACAGACACTAGTATGGCAATATGTAAATCAATGGATGTGTAACTGATGTGATTCTGCAATCTGTGTATGGGGTGAAGGTGGGAGTTCATAACCCACTTGAATCAAAGTGTGGAATATGATATGTCAAGAAATTTGTAATGTTTTGAACAACCCACAATAAAAAATTAAAAAAAAAAACAACTCCATGATTCTATGAATTTTAATTTCTTAAAAGCAAAATATCTAAGAGAATACTTAGAATTCTTACTTCAAATAAACAAAGGTAAACTTCATAAACATATCAATAAGTATTTCAACAAATCACCTTGTCCTTTTCCCCCCCCAGTTTTGAGTGTGTATGTGTTTGTCACCTAGAATGGATGGTAAATTGGCCTCTTTTCCTTGATAAATGGCTTTGATGCAGAGCTACTCCAAGAATGTCTTCTTATTAAGAAGGAAATTAAAAGGAAAAATTAATCTTATGTCTTTTGTTTTCTATTTTGCTGTGCTCGGAAATGAACCCAGGGCCTTCTGCATGCTGGGCAAGCACTCTACCACTGACCCACATTACCAGTCCTAAACTAATATTAAATAAATACGTAAAAATGAAGCTATGCCACACTGTGATGTAGCATTTGTGAAAATATGGTCATACAGTGGTTTTTAAAAGTCCATTTTCTATACTATATACTTAATTATTTCAGGAAGTACAACTGAATTCCAAATTTCAAAGGATCACTGATGGTACATAGAGAACTTCAAGAACAAAGAGTAGAAATTGCATGAAATGTGATTTTACATGTGCTTTAGCACTTATTTGAAAATAAGTACTTGGACTCTCAAGTGATTTTGATTTGCTAAGGTCCTCTTTTAATAGAACAAACAGAGTTGTTAAAATTGTTCTTTTAGTATAGAAGGACTTGATCTCATATTTGATCCCCATTACCATTCCATGCATGATGGAGACCTGCTCTGACATGCACTTTTCACAGAAACTCAACCTGGGCACCAGTGCAAATATATACCAAAAAGATGAATGGGGCTTATCTTTTATATTATGGTACATAGTTGTTTTTAAGATACCATTCTTTAAGGAAATGGTGCCTAATATCAGTCTACCTACATTCAACTGTGCTTCAAGATTTCATAGCTCAAATTCAACCAAGCAGAAACTGCCTGCCAAAGTAAAAGATGTTGTCAGTTAGGGTCTGAAAAACAAAGCAAGTTACTCTCTCAAATGCTTCAAAGAATTTTTATAACATGTAACAATCAGTTCATTCACTCCCATAACTGATTCTCTCCTATGACTGCTTCTGAAATAAAAAAGGGGCTTGCTTCAGCCATTCAAGAGAGAAGGAAAAAGGAATTGAGAAGAGAGTCCCCAATGAGATTAGGAAGAACTTAAGTTGTAAATATGTGTAGAGGCAGGGGAATAAAAGCATTCAAAGAAGGGAGCATTTTCCTCTTCTTCTTTATCACATTTTTCTTTAGTCTCTTGCATCTGATTCATCCATTTTCTTTCTTATACTTTATTTCATCTATCTCAGTTCAACCTTCAGGTCCCTCTGCAAAATGTTTGACTTTGGTTTTCTTCCTCTTTGTTCAGTGAATATCATTAAACCCATCTCACTCTTTTGCCTGTGGATGTGATTAAACTTGCCTCTTCCTTGCCTGGCTGTCTCTCTCCATCCTCCTCCTGGGGTGAACAAGAAAGTCTTCTCTCCATTTGCTTCTCCTTTTCTTCTGTTCCCATTAAGTGATTTTTTTCCTAAAGAGATTATAAGAAGATCTGTTCATTGGAGGTTTTTCCAGGTCTTCCTTCATCTGGAGGTGAACTGCTGCTTTCAGGAGCCCTATTTTCAATAATTAATCAGAGTATGGTCTTGGGCCAGCAGCCTTGGAATTGGCAGAGTGCTTGTTAGAAATGCAATATTCCAGCCACCCCCAACCCCAGAACAAATAAATCAGAACCTACATTTTAACAAGATCCATAGGCCTCCCAGGTACATTTTGAATTCTGAGAAATGTTACTATAAGCCATAGAAATTTGAGCAAGAGCCAGTTGATTGTGGAGATCAAAGATCAGAAGGTTTTCCAGAAGAGGAGGTGAAGTTTTGGAAGAGAGAAGATGGGAAGCTAACAATAGGCCAGAGGGAAATGGCTGTTACAATAGCACAAAAGTGAGCAGGGAGCTTGGGAGAGCTGAGCAACCATGCAGGGCTGAACCAGCTGGGAAAAGGACATAATCTGCGAGGAGAATAGATTTAAGACTCTCACATATAAGACTCTCACAGACTGGAGCATTTTCTGCTCCCATCAATATATAAACTAGGACACATGCTTCTGGAAAGCTCAGGCCTAGAGATGCTGATAGCATTAAACCTTGGAAGATCAAAGAATGAACTAAAATCTCTGGCCAGGGCAACACTGGGCACTTCCCTACCTTTTCCGTTTGCTCATTGCTGATAGACAGAGGATGGAATTGGGAATTCACTGAGGAAATTATGATTTTTATAAAATCTTCTTTTTTCTCAGTTGTTCCAATATCTGGATGTTTTGCCTAGCTCCCATGTTCTGTGGGATAACATATGGATAACAAAATCTCCTGAGATTCTGCCTGCCATATGGTCTCAGAGTTATCTTTAGACTTCAAGACACCCTGATATATAGGGGGATGGGAAGACCGGATACCATACAACATAGTTATAATGCTGATAATATTTATATCAGAAAAAAAGAACACAAAATGATTATCTTGAGGGGTCAAAGAAGGAAAGCAAAAAGTTAACTTATTGGATAATAACACTTAAGATCATACTTGAAAATACACTTTTATTTGCCATATAGTAACTTCAAAAATAAAGTCATTAGGTTCATAAAACAAAATGCAACTAAATAATAGTTCTCAATTTCCAGTCTTAGGGGGAAAGTCTCTTAGAATCAGGGGTCCCTGAGAATTCCAGAAAAAAGCATCCCAGTTTCTGTCCAGAACAAATAGTTTACGCACATTAACGAACAGAATCCTTATGATCCTGCCAGTCCTCCTTGTTTGGATCTATGAAAATGTGCAGTTCTCAGTCTCAGAATCAGGGAAAAAGATCCACATCCACAGGTTTTCCTTGCAAAGCCCACAAAATCTGGGGAGCTGAGGAAAGGTGCTAGGTTTTCAGAGGGCTTGGATCATTCCACATTATGGTGGCATCAAATAGGAATCTAACCCTGCTGCTGAACCCTGTGTCATTTCAGCCAACAATTTCTCCACTAACTAGGGTCTGTAACCTCATCTCCCAAGTCTTTGGGACCTGCAAAAAGATCCCATAGCTGGCTTTACTTAACAGAGGTACCAGATGGGTGAAGAAGCAGAGTGGGATTGAGCATGTATGTCCAGCATTTCCACAGTATCTGCTAATTGGTCCAGTAAACAGAAGGAGATTGTGAGCTCAGAGGAAGTTTTGCCCCCTATTTGGTCCAATTTTGGATTTTCAGAACTCTAAAGCATCTAGTACCCCTAAATATTTGATAAAGGTAGTTCACTAGCAGCTCTCCTCCTCAGAAGGGCAGAAAACAAGTGTTCCTAGGCCCTACCTAGCTGAGAGTGAGCTCTGCTAAGGTTTGAATGTCCCTTGGTTTGAGGCCTCTGATACTATACTACTACAGAATTAGCATCCTCAGGGTTCAAAGGATTCTCCCCACAGCCTCTGGGGGAGGTTGGTTCTTCCTGTGAAAGGTAAGAATCTCTTTCACATACAGGAATTTCCACTGAATGAATGAGAAATATCTCCAACCCAAATTGCTTTTACCAGGAGAGCTATGAGTTAGTGTTGATGTTGAGTAACCAAATATGACCTCATAAAGACTACCTTGAGCATCAGAGCCTACCCCAAGGCCTGTGGAGATATTTTCAACCATTAGTGAAAATGGCATTTGCTATTCAAAGATTTGGAATATAGAGGATATGAATTTGGGATCCATGTCATGTAAACCTACAACCCTATTCCTTATCATATAGCTATGGTGGTTCTTCAGAGTTTGAATGAAGTTATTAACACAATACACATGATATAAGTGGGAGAGAGACAATAAAAAGGGAAAGAATAAAAATAAGAAAGGTCAATGAACTAAAGAGGTAAGACATCTACAACATGGGTGGAATTAAAAATTAGAAATACACATATGTGTTCTAAGATCTAGTTATTTAACTCATCAACTGTGTATTCAGTGCCAATCCTTTATAAACTACATAGTAGGCACTCAATAAATGTGTTGGATACATCACCTGATCCACCTCTGTGGATCTTTGAGTTAGTGTTTTTTCCAATTGATGGCCTACATTCTAGAATCCTCCCTGGAATTAGAAACTTGGTCATGGTACTTTTATTTTCTAACCTGTCCCTTTTCCTATACAACTACCTATATGAGTATGTAGAATCTGAAGCAAGAAAGAGTCTTATGTAAAATTTAAGAGATACTTACATGAAGCACATTTGTACTCAGCTGCTGAAAGTTCCGAGATCTCAATTCTTGCATCCGCTTGTTATTCTCTTCATACTTGTCTTCCACAATTTTTCTGCAAATTTAAAGTGAACATACAAAAGTAACTCAAATTTCTAAAACTATGTCTTATCTACAGATATGTATGATCCCTGTTCAGGGATCATGGGCAGATTAGGCTGATGGGAAGCCAGGTCATCTCTCTCTCGCTTGGGAAGTAGTATGCTGTGCATAACACTTTTAAACTTTAGTTCTCTTTTAAATCACACACAGGGATACTCTGGTTCCTTATTAATTCTTAGGAATTCTCAAATGCAGCAGAAGGAGAAGACAATTCCTCCCTGTGCATCCTGAATATGATGATGGGGGTTTCCACAGTGTCTGACATATACAAACACCATGAAAAATGTTTTCAGGGTGAACCAACACACAAGCCAGGAAAAAAAGAAATACTACATATCAAAGAATTTATGAAAAATATATAGGCATCACTGTGGAAGAAAATTTTCTTCTGTAGAAAAATTTTATTTCCTTTGTTTTCTTTATTTGTTTCCAACTAGGAGAATTGATTATAATAAATCTGCTACTCGAAGAAAGATTTAAGTTCTTATGATAACTTGTGTGTTAATCTATACTTAGATATTTTCTACAAGTCACTGAACATCCTTCTAGTTAAATTTTCTTGTCTATAAAATGGATACATTTCACCTTTCTGACATTAGAGTCATTTTCTTACTAAAAACACATGTTCCCTTTTATTCTAGAAACAAAGATCAAAATTACAATACAATTCATTCATAAAATAAAGATCAAATTTTATGTAAACACTATCACTTTAAATGTGAAAATATTAGTGCATCATTTGAAAGATTTATGACTTCCATTGATCTATAAAATAGTTTTAATCTGAATAATTTGTAATATGCAGATAAATTATTAAATCTGCCATTTTAATCCATTTCTATCAGAGTCTAAATTTTTCTTTTATCCACAATCAATGATCTGAATCATGGTACAATGGAGATACTAACATTATAAACAAATTTGAGACTATGAGTTGATGGAATGGCTCAAGGAATTTATGTGAATATATTTTCCAAGTAAAACCCACACTCAGTGCTATAGTGATTTACAAAAACAAACTAGTATTGGCTCCCTAGAACACACTGTGTACATTATTTTCCTAACTAAACATTCAGTAACATCACATTGGTAGCCGAAATTGGCCATGGTGGGAGTATTTACAACACAGAAATCAGCAAGTAAGTCAGCTAACTCTAAATCCAGAGCTGTCTGTTAAATGTTTACCAGCACATCACTGCACTTTGATGCAAATCTTTCTCCACATATATTAAAGAAAGCATGTGTTAAGGAAAATAGAGTCTGATAGATTCTTATTTGGTTCATCATGATATTCATTCAGAGTATAAGGATATCTCTAAATCATGTTTCAGGTTTGTTTTGTAAACATGATCACAAAGTAAGCAGATCTGCTATTTGGAACTTATCTATCCCTCTAGTCCTTGGTTGGGATTTCTAAGTTACCAAAGAGTAAGCGAAGGAAGAAAGAAGAAAAATTAGAGAATTGGCAAACCTTGCAACTGAAAAAAAGCATTTGAGAAATTGAGAGTCCGGGGCTCTTTGATATTCCACTCTTCATACATACATCTTTCTTCAGTTTTAATAAGATTTAATTGACAGATAAAATAGTTTATATTTATAGTATACATCATGATGTTTTGATATATGTATATATTGTTTAAATGATTAGAACAAGTTAATTAACATATACATCACTTCACATACTTTTTTGTGGTGAGAACATTTAAGGTCTATTACTGAGTAATTTTCAAATCTACAATGTCTTAATTAGTCACTACGATGAACAATAGCTCTCTAGAACTAATTCTTCCTGGCTAACTGCAACTTTGTACCTTTGTCTAAATCTCCTCATCCATGCCCCTGACCCTGTTAATCACCATTTCATTTTCCACCTTCACTAGTTCCATATTTTCAGATTTCATATATATGTGAGATCATGATCATGAATATTTGTCTTTCTATGGATGGCTTACTTCACTTAGCCTAATGTCCTCCAGATTCATCCATGCTGGTGCAGTTGATGTGATTTCCTTCTTTTTAAAAGCTAAAGAGAATCCTGTTGTATGTACAGTCCACATTTCTCTTTGATTCCATCTTTGGGCTACTGTGAATAATGCTGCAGTGAGCATGGGAAAGCAGATCTGTTCAATATTTGATTTCATTTCCTTTGAATATAAACTCAGAAGCAGGTCTGTGAGATCTTTCAGAAGTTCTATGTTCAAATTTTTAGGGAAACTCCATACTTCTTTCCATAATAACTTTACAAGTTTTCCACGCCCTTCCCGATGCTTGAAATTATACTTTTTCATAAAAAGATACTTCTAAATGCTTCTTTTAACAGACCAGAACTGACTGCATTTTACTGTCTTCCAAGCTAAAAATTTTCTGCCAGCAAAACCTCTTATCCCTGTAGATCAGCTAGGTCTCCTGGTAGAAGAAACACAGCAAGCACCTAGGGAATGAGATTAAAATAATAAAGGCTTCTTTTCGGTCTGTTGCTTGAGTATGTATAGAAGATGTCAGCACCAATGAGGTTTCACTCAAGAGACTGACCCTATTTTCATCACTAATGCACTCCCTGATTTTCAATCTTTCTCTATACTCAACACTGAAAGCCTAATATAAATTGTACCTGGCATCCACTCTAAGACTCAATCATCTTTTGACTGAATGAGTAAATGAATAAACAAATAAATATATAACCATATGCATTTTGGTTTCTTGATTTGTTTTTTTTGTTTTGTTTTGTTTTGTCTTCTCTTCAGTGAATTCCTTCATAGCCCCTGGGAGCAGCACAGGAGGCATACAGTACGAAAGGAAAGGTAGCTTACTTTAGCTTCCTGGCTTTTTCATCAGCTGCCTGGAGCTTCCTCAGCCGCATCCTTTCTCTAGGTGTCATTTTCTGCACTTCAGATAGTTCCCGAAGAGTCTGCAGGTGTATCTTTTTTTGCCTATAAATCATAAAGATTCCCCACATGCTAACATGCTCAGAAAAATTAAACAAATCTTTTACAGAAGTATAATTACACTACGGAGAAAGCAAAAGCATCTCAAGACAGGCCAGGCAAAAACTAATAATCTTTGGATAGGCAATGAGCCAACCAGGACTGTAGTTAATTGACAATATTTTTCAAATTAGATTTTTGTTTAAAAGAAAATTATATACTTTCCAAATTTCTGCTCATTTCATTGCCTATAACTAGTTTTCACAATGGTAAGACAAATTAGAATTGTGGTCATTAGGGAGCAAAACGACTGTCAGAGTAATTCAGCCATGTGGATAGGTATACAATCTTTGGAGTTAAGCAGGATTTGAATCCCACATCTACCACTCATTAGCTCAATAGACTTGAATGAGAAATTGAACCTCAATGTTCTCATCTGTAAAGAATGGGCTATAGTAAGTATCATGAGACAATGTATGCGCAAGTATTTATGATGGTATCACAATAGGTGTATTTTGCTGAGTATGACTTATATGAGTGCTTAATCACACAGGTTAACAACTAAATATGGGTTCATATCATAACCTCCCAGCTTACATTTTATGTATCCTTGGGCAAGTTACTTAACCCATGACTATAAAAAAAGTACTACCTACTTCGTAGGGTTTTCCTGCCTTTAAATGAGTTCATGTAAATGGATTCTATTAGATACCGAGCTGAGGATATGGTCATTAACCCCGAAAATGTTAGATAATATTATTACTTAAGAATCTTTTTCTTCAATAAAAGGAATGTGTTCACATTAATCTACTATTGAAAGGCCTACAACCACTTTCCCAATGATAATTGCTTCTGTTCCTGACTTGGTTAGGGGTCAATATCAAAGAACACCTTTTATAATCCACTCCTTCCTTAAGAACCACTAAGAGAATTGTAATGAGTTTTGTAGCAGTTCTCATTCCTCTATAATATCATCCAAACAGAGTCACCAAGCAAAGTTCAATCCTTCAGGCATATATATATACCCAATTTTCTAAACCCAAACAGATCTCCTTAAAACATAGTCTTAGATCTTAAAAATAAGAGTGACTAATTGAAATCAATATTTCACAACATGAAATGCCCTCCAAATAATTAGATTCTAGCACACTGTTAATTCTAAACAGTGTTAGGCAAAGTGTTTCACAACTGCAGTGCAAAATAATAACTAAAATTAGCTCAATATTTTAAAAATAAGATATCTAGTACTTTCACATTTCCAGTTAATAAAATAAAAATTGAAATTCCAACCTTTCTTGAAAGAATAACTAGAAATTCAACAAAACAAGGTTATTAGAAGCATGCTTAAAAATTTGCCCCCTAAGGCACAATGTGCTTCACCTAGAGATCATGCATCACACAAAGACTGGATGCCTTGGTGGATAAGTTTCTCCTAGTTTGCATGTGAGGATGGAGACCACAATGCTGCAGTTAGGAAACCCACAGGACTAGGTGTGAGAGAAATATTGCTGGCTATCTGGCCTTGTAGATCAACCTATTTAGGGCCCCTATTCTCTTTTTTTTAACCTTTATTTTATTTATTTATTTTTATATGGTGCTATGGATGGAACCCAGGGCCTCCCATGTGCTAGGTAAGTGCTCTACCACTGAGCCACAACCCCAGCCCCAGGTCCCCTGTTCTCACTCCACTGTCCTGTACACTGCTGAAGAGGGACTGCTCTGCTCTGTGTGTCTTTATAATATTAAATATAGTTTGTTTGACAAAATTATAGATTTAGTCTTTAAAAGCAGTGGTCCCAGGAGTTGTGCAGTGCACTGCATGCACAGTTACACATGGTGATTCTGAAGTAATATAGCATTCTAGACTTCTGCAAGTTATAGCACAAAAAAATTTGAATGAGGAAAAAGAGAAGTTAGGACAGAAAATAATTATAATTCTCTGAAAACACACTTTTCTAGTTCTTATATAAGAAGATACATACTTTAAGGAAGTAAATCTGGCTTATTTTCAATTGTCCCAGAATCCCATATTCTTCTGCCAGTTCACATTAAACAAACAATGTGTGAAAGCCACTTATGCTTATGATGGAAGGCTCATTAGCATAAATGTTACTAAATGTTTGAGATATTAATTTCTCTACACACTTACAAGGCAGCTGTGGAGCTACCCTGCAGATCTGTAAGCAGTGCAGTGGTTTAAACTTTTATGATTTCAATTTGCTACCACCTGGGGCAAAAAGCTATGGAATGCTACATTACTGAAGCTCCTTAATTTCCTGGCAAGATTAAGTGAATTCTAGAATGCTCCATGCAGTCAGCTTAGCACTAATAGATTTTTAAAGACAAATGCATTTAACGTTTATGCTGGATGGGCTTTTGAAAAACAAAGCAATTACTTACATGGCATTAATTATCCGGGCGGCCTCCTTCTGACAATCCAAATTCTTGTCTTCCAGAGTTATTTCAGAATATCTACACATCAGGTGCTAAAAAAATTAATAATAATCCTGGTAAACTTAAATTAGATTCCTCTTCAGTAATGAATTGAATGAAAGGACATAAAACTACTAGGTACCTTTTCTGATTTGGGGTATTATTGACTCTGGCAGGAAGCTTGAAAACTAAGTTCATAGTAACTATTTTTCTCTATATAAAGGTTATATAAAATTACACAGTAGCTTATGTGAGAAGACCTACAGGGCCAGGCTCCTGCCTACCTCTCCAACTTCACCTTGTACTACTTGCTCTCTTACTCCTTGTTACCCACTATAAGCAGGCCTGCTCTCAGCTCCAAGAATACTCACTTTCTCCAAATCCCAGCCTGGAATGGACAAATCTACATTCCTCAGGCTAGAACTAGGGTTTAGCAAATGAGGCACTCACTTTAGGTACAAAATCTAAGTGGGTACCAAAAAACTCTGTGACCAAGAGAAATAATACTTAAATACAATATTATTTTTAAAATCAAAATTAAGTCCTTATATACAAACAGAGATATGATAAATGGTGGTATAAAGGTGTATTAAGAATTTTATGCAAAAAAATAAGAGAGCTCATGTATAATGCCATAATTTGGTGTGAACATACTTTTATACAGAATTACAAAAAATTGTGCTATGAATGGATAATTATGAATGTAATGCACCCCACTATTGTTATATATGTAAGAAATAAATTTTAAAAAGAAAAAAAATTAAGTCCAAAAAGCTATGAAGAATACAATATCAAATATTTAAATAAAGACATGATCCAATACTGAACTTGCCCAACTCTACTTCCTTGCTTTGCCCTAATCCTGGTTCTGTTGAATCTGTTGTTTAAACTTTAAATATTCTTCACCAGGGATAATTAGTATTATTTTGGATTTTAGATTATTGCATAAACATATATGATTTATCTTGATTGAGTTTTTGGTGTCCCCTTTAAGTTTGCTCTTGGGTAGGTATCTCACTTGCCTGACCCTAGTCTTGGCAGATTCCCTGAGATCCTTTTTGTTTCTTTGTACATTGATGGCCATTTTAGCTGGCACTAATTTCCCTTTGATAGAGGACTACCCAGAGCCCAATATGCTTGGCACATAGGGAGAACTGGAGGTGCCCAGGTCCTTAAGACTTCCTCTCCATGTTTTCCTTAGCTTCCTCTGGGAGTATGTGTTTGTGTAAGAACCTTCTTCTCTATGTCCACCTTCCATGAGCACAACTTAATTTAGGGCTGGCTTTTGTACTAGCTGTTCCCTATGATTCAAATTGTTCCTTACATTCTGGCTCCTTCTCCTGTGCTCACTGGTGTTGAAATGGTACCAACCCCTTCTTTGACTACCAAAGCCCCTCCCCACCTGTTACTTTTTGTAGAATCCTGTTCACTTTCTTCCTAATTTTTTTGCTTGTGATCATTTATTTGTCTACTTTTCCTTGGTCACTGGGTTCTCTCACTAGCAGTCATGCTTCAAAAGATCAGGAACAATACCCATTCCTTTCATTTTAGCCTCCCCCCAGTGTCAGCACAGTGCCTGGCACTCAAGAATGAGTATACATCATCACCACCTTTGTTTCCTCTGGATTTATAACTCGGTCCACTGACTGAAAAGATATGCACATTTTGGAAAGTGGACAACTCTTGTGGTTCCTATTAAATCTTTTCATGAAATCAGAAGAAACCTGCCTGAGGGGTTAGTATTGCAAAAGCCAGAGAAGCTAAAAAAAGAAAAAAAGCCCTCAGGGAAGAAACCATTTGCTTCTTTCTTACTACCATAGGCAGATCTACTATATCAAATTTTCTAAACCGCAGGAAAACAAAATGAGCTCAATAAATAAAAAGTGTTAGTGAGTTACATATAATAAAGGAGTGGAATAATAAATGCTCAAAGAAAATCCCAGACTAACATCATTATTGGTGCATTCTTGTCCTAGTAGGGATATAATTCCAATGTGTTGAGGTAACAACTGTCAGTATAAGAGCCATAGAGTAGATGTTGAGATTAGGCATAAATTGAAAGCCCCAACATCCCATTTCTGGGCACATCTGGGAACTAGTGTTGATGTACAGTTGCAAACAGATCGATCTGACTACCTTCTTTTTAATCTTGTTCCTCCTTTGTTTCTTAATGCATCTTACTTCCACAGTATATTTTCAAGTCACAGAATGTGTATATAAATGCTAATACCTGTTTCCCAGTATCCCTTTCATTTTAAATACCTGTAGCTGTTCAGCAATGTAAGGGTTTTTTAAAATTTCTAGAGCAGATGGTCTCAATGAAGGATTCTTGTTCAACATGCTGTAATGTTCAAAAAGAAAATTATTTTTCAAGTAAGCTAAAGAATAAGTTCATTTAAACAAAATAATATTTTTTGACAATAGATTTCTTTCCATACCTTTCCATGATGGTGTTTAGTTCTCTTGGATATCTCTCAGGGAGGGAGGGTGTATCGCCCTCAACAATTTTTAAAACAATAGACAAGAAATTGGAGCCAGTGAATGCGTGATCCATACAACACATCTCATATAAAATACATGCCAGTGACCTGAAGATAAAAAGAATTTAAATAAGGAATTTCTGCCCTATTTTACATGTGCTCATCATCATATAACTTCAGAGGTATTGGGGCACTGGCTGTGAAGTACTAACATACATTTCCGTTGTTTGTTTAAAAATTGCAATTTCAAAGTATTATTTTACTATCTAAATAAAGTTCCCCCACCATCAAAAAAAAGAAGAAAGAAAGAAAAAGAAATTTTTAAAAAGCACAAAAATAAAGGACAACAGTAAGTCTGAATGACTGCTTTTTCAAAAGGAGAATAAACATACTGACAGTTAGCAAGTGCCTGCACAAATTTGGTTGATGTATTAAAAATTTTTTGAATTAGATTCTGTGCAGGAAAAATAAAATAAAGCTAAATATTATCTTCCTAAGGCAGTCTTGTTAATGCTATGCATGCAAAATAAAATTTTAATTTATAAGCCTAACCTTCCCTTTCCTGTGTATCCATGCATTTTGATAAGGAAACTAGCATTCCTTATTAGTTTCCTGAACATAATCCATTTGCAAGTATGGTAGGAGAGTAGTTTCTTGCAGCTCACATTAAAATGTATAATTCTCCCTTGGGGAGTATGAGATAATATTAAAATTCTAGATCAATCCAACACTGATTTGGATTAGCCATACAAATCAGCATCCTCTAAACCAGCAGAAAAATCTTTTCAATAGCTCTCCATCATGAAGAAAACTAGGGGGTAAATTCATTCCTGAATTTAGTATAAAGAGATAACTGAGCTGGGTGTGGTGGCGCAAAGCTGTAATTCAAAGTTAGCCTCAGCAACTTATCGAGGCCATAAGCAACTCAGTGAAACCCTGTCTCTAAATAAAATATAAAAAAGGACTGGGAATGTGGCTCAGTGGTTAAGTGCGCTTGGGCTCAACCCTGGTACAAAAAGAAAAGAAATAGTGTACTTCTCCTAAATAATGGGTTATTTTTATCTTATAGGCATTAGAAATTATGTACCTGGCTGGGTTTCTCTTTTCCTGTTATTTTATTGAAAGATTAGAAATAAATGTATGATTAACCTTATATAAAGTTGCATTTTATGCAATTTTAAATACTGTATCTAATATATACAAATATATACATGACTAAAATAATTTGTGTTTGCTCATAAAATATGCACATGTATAAGAGAATTCTGGATACATACATTGATAATGTTTTTGTCCCCCAAAATAAAAATAATAACACTATTTTTTTCACTAACTGGTGCACTTTACAAAGCACTTTCATTTACTTCTGAATGGAAATTCAAAACTGCCCAGTGAAATAGAGCTAATATAAAATTTTTCTTATTTTATAGATAAGGAAATTGCCTCAGAAAAGTTAAATGACTTGACCAAGTTCATACAGGTGGTAAATTTAAAACTTGATTCTCAAAATAAGGCATTTTTTCTTCCCAAATTCTGTATTATTTTAACTAGAAAGAAGAGGAATGCTAGGAGAAATACAAAACATTGACTTAGAGCACCAAGATCAATGTAAACATAAAAGTAAAGAAAATTATTTGAAGCTCAATAAATGTTGCATTCATCCATAATACTATTAAATTTTATGTGACATGTTAGAATACACTTAGATTTTTTTATAGCCAGAAAAAATTTTTCCTTCAGATAAAGATGAAAGAATGTCATTTTTAGACAAGTGAAAATAGATAGTTCACTGCCAGCAGGAAAGTATTAAAAAGTCCTTAGAGGGAATACTTACGTTAAAGAAAAATTATCCCAGACAGAAACCAGTAATGCAAGAGGAAATAAAGAAGAACCAAAAGACTAATTCTGTGAATATGTATAAATGGATATTAAATCTACAAAATAATATTAACTATAGCTAGTGAGATTTTAAAATTATACAGAATAAAAATTTATAACAAAAATAATGCAAAGGACAAGAGTATAAAAAAGAAAATTAAAGTACTTTAAGGATCTTGAATTATTGAAAAAGTGTTTAAAATAATAATTTTTTCTTTAACTGGACAGCAATAAGTCAAGGATGCAAGTAATATTTCTTAGGGTTATAATTAAAAGAAAACAATATTTTTGTTTTTATATATACATTAATATGTATATATAACAGACTATAATAAGTTACTAGATGAAAAAAATCAAATTTCAAAAAATTTAAGCCAAAAGAAAGGAAGAAAAGGAAAGAAAAATAAACACAAAAACAAGTGGGACATATATAAAACAATAATAAAATGAAAATAAAAATAAAAGTATAAATATATTAACATAAAATATTTTCCATTCGAAAAGACTAAGCTTATCAGACTGGATTTTAAAAAAAGTAGACACTGTTCACAAAATAAACCTTGAATACAAGAACACAGAAGGTTGATAGAAAAAGATACATCATGTAAAAAATATTATTAGTATAGCTATACTGCACAGACAAAGTAGAAGTTAAGGCAAGAACCACTACTAAGATTAAGATAATCGAGTGATAAAAAAATCATACCATTAGGAACATATAACAATTTTAATTTGTATATACCCATTAACATTCTGTGTTTTTATTGTGTAGCAACAACTCATAGAATTAAACGGAAAAATAAATTATCAATCATTGTGATTCATAATCACACATGTTTTCAATAGCTGATGGAACAAGCAGACATAAAAATAAGTAAGCATAGAAAAAAATCTATACAACACAATTACCAAAATTAACAAATTGGCATAAATGCACCCTACAGTAACAAAATTTAAATTCAGGGACACATTAAACATTTTGCCAAAACTGAGTACACATGGGGTCATAAAACAAGCCTCAACAGATTTCAAGGATCAAAATCTTGTGAATATATACTCCAACTACAGTAAAATTAAGCTAGACATGCATAATGGAAAAATAGAATGTGGGGATGTGGGGACTGTAAAATCTCCAACTTACAAATTAGGGAATATACATTTAAATAATCCTTGTTTTTTTTTAATATTTTATTTTTTAGTTATCGGCGGACACAACATCTTTGTTTGTATGTGGTGCTGAGGATCGAACCCGGGCCGCACGCATGCCAGGCGAGTGCGCTACTCCTTGAGCCACATTCCCAGCCCTAAATAATCCATGGAGTATTACTCTGCATTAAAAAATGACAAAATCATAGAATTTACAGGGAAATGGATGGCATTAGAGCAGATTATGCTAAGTGAAGCTAGCCAATCCCTAAAAAAACAAATGCCAAATGTCTTCTTTGATATAAGGAGAGTAACTAAGAACAGAGTAGGGTCAAAGAGCATGAGAAGAAGATTAACATTAAACAGGGATGAGAGGTGGGAGGGAAAGGGAGAGAGAAGGGAAATTGCATGGAAATGGAAGGAGACCCTCAGAGTTATACAAAAGTACATACAAGAGGAAGTGAGGGGAAAGGGAAAAATAATACAAGGGGGACAAATGAATGTCAGTAGAGGGGGCAGAGAGAGAAGAGGGGAGGGGAGGGGAGGGGAGGGGGGATAGTAGAGGATAGGAAAGGCAGCAGAACACAACAGACACTAGTATGGCAATATGTAAATCAATGGATGTGTAACTGATGTGATTCTGCAATCTGTATATGGGGTAAAAATGGGAGCTCATAACCCACTTGAATCAAAGTGTGAAATATGATATATCAAGAACTATGTAATGTTTTGAACAGCCAACAATAAAAAATTTAAAAAAAAGAAAAAAAAGAATCACAAAAGAAATCAGAAAATATTCTTAACTGAATGCTAATGAAGTTATAAAATATCAACAGTCATTGAATGCAGCAAAGGAAAGTACTTACAACAAACCTGAAAGTATTTAATGCATATATTAGCAGAGAAAAGGGCTTAAATTCTATGATCTAAGTAAACTTGATAATCTAGAAACAGACTAGCAAATCGCAGCAAAGAATTTAAATTTTTAAGAAGAGAAGAAATGAATGAAATAGAAACGAACATAATAAAAACAGAATCAGTAAAGACAAGGAAATTTACTAGACCTCTAGCAAGACTAATTCAAAAAAACAAGAAGAAAAAAACAGATCAATAATAACAATAATGGAAAAGGGAATGTAACACTGTAGACTCCACAGATACTAGAAAGTAGTAGGACAGCATTATAAACATGTTTTCTGCCAATAAATTTGACAATTTGGATTAAATAAGCAGTGTTTGAAAAATACAATTTACCAAACTGACACAAGAAGAAATAGAAATTATGAACAGTCCTTTACCATTAAACACAGAAAAGCCAGTATTTAAAATAATGAAATTAGATTGACAGGAGACAGGAAGATGGCAAATTAGAGCACCTAGCTCTTGCCCAATTTTCTATGAGATACAATTAAAAGAACTGGAGAGCAACTGGATATCTAGGAAGGTGATAGTGAGAGAATACTGAAGTTCAATAATGGACAGGCAGAGATTTGGATAGTGGAACAGAGGGCATGAGCAATATGGCAGCAGCAGTGCAGTAGAAGATGGAGGAGTCCCCATGAGCACCACTAATGCAGGATTTGACACCTTGAAGGAAAATGCAGCCTAAACAGAAAATAGACTTGGATCTTCATATCAATACTGGTTATGAATAAGTTCTCTACACTTCCCAGTGTATTCTCAAGGTGCTATACCATGAAGCCATCTTGATAAGTCTTATCTCAGTTTACTCCTCTAAAGTCAAAGGCCCCTGCATTTTTCTGACTCTTGGTCTCCAGAAATATTGCTGGGCTGGTTCAGGAAGCAAATGTCTTGAGATTCAGTTTGGCCACAAACTGAATAAAAATTCAGTAATAATAATTCCATGTGGTGGGAACCAGGATTGACACACCTAGGGAACTAAAGATGGCTCCTCTTTAAAACTGGCAGTTCAGAAAACAAGCTGCAGGAATTGTGGGGAGGGGGCGGGTACGGGCACACACCTGCAATTTCCTTCAGGAACTATCTTGGAATACCAGAGTCAAAGGTAGTGGATTGTACAGGGCCCACTTTCTCCTTCCCCCAGTACAAATGGCTGAGACTCC